GAAATTATATTGGATTCGGTGGCGCTTCCGTCAGTTCGCATGTGAGCGACAACGACATACGAAATCACGTACGCCGCGGGGATGCCGGAGCCCAGAGGGCAGGATCGTATATACGTATGTTACACGGGTCTTACAATGGGCCCCTATTTTTTAATGTCCACCCGGTAGGAGAGCTCGTCACGTTTTCTATAGGGACAGCTGTGTACTAGGCTTTCCATCGTGGTCCCATAGAAATTGAAAAACGTGTATGCTCTTGGATGATGGGACATTGTTGTGCGTGTACCCGTAGGGAGAGGCAATCTCGAAAGATTCTCGTATAGTGATTCGGATTTTGAAAAAAAAAAAAAAAATTTTTTTTTCAAAAATTTTTTCAAAAATTTATACACTTCAATAGCATACACAATTAAATCCCATATACCACTGCCGTTTATACCTGAACTCAATGATAAAGTCGGGTGTCCAATGAAGATGGAGGTTATTAAATTTTTCAAAAGAATCGCAGAGTCGCTTTCGCGCGACAAAGGCGTCGGTAGCGTGGTGAGTCGAACGAATTAAAAGCGTAATCGCGGGTTAAACGGTGTCCGCCATGCTCGCCGGTTAATAACCGAGAAGAGCCGACCTTGTCGGCGACTAAACGGGCTAGGCCGAATAAAAAGAAATTACCGAGCATACAGGCGGTAATGTTTACGCTCATACAAAAAACCGTAAACGGACACACTCGCGCTCGCGCACGCATTAACAAAGCATTCCACCGGCTTATTCGACAGGTAAGGTGCGCGCTGCTGATACGAAAATTCGTTTGCAAGGTAAACCAAGAAAAATGAAATCTCAAAGGGGGGGGAAAAAAAAAAAAGAAACGTCAAAAAAGACAACCAAGTGAATATCAAAGAAACCACGGGGATCCCCCGAGGTGCATAAATCACGAGGAGTTTTTAATACGACGGGGAACCCCCGGATAGGGACTTCATTGTTGAGTCAAGGAAAGGAAAAGGTGTCGACCGTAAAACTTCGTCGTAAACGTATCCGAGTTTCATTTAGCATTGCGAGAATAAGAAGAGAGAATGAAGACACACAAAAAAAATAATACAATCCCCCCTCCTCCGCTACTCCGTAAAAAAATTTTAAAAATCCCAAAACTAAAAAAAATTTCTTCTGCCTTAAACTATATGACAATTAAATTCGACTTAGCAAAGTTATAAAATATCTGCAATCTATATATATATATATATATATATATATATATTGGCAAAAGCCAAGCCTTTTTCTCAGAACACGATTCGCTCAGAATGCACCTCGATGCTCCCAGTACGTTGATTTGGCATTGTGATGCAAATACCCCACGAATCGTGTACCAGGGCAGAGAGGATCTCTTTGAAGCTTTTGCTCGATACGCCCAGGCGAGAGCTCAAGGAACTTTAAATAACCGGCATATGTGTGCATACACACGTGAAGAGTACCCAGGGGTACCATACGAGACAGGAACCCCATGTACCATCGATATACAAAGTTACAGTATGAACCCATAGCGTACAGAAGATACACAGCTGTGCTCGTTGCATCTGGTATAACCGACGATCCACTTGCACGCATGTGACTCGGGCTTTAATATTTGAATAAGGAGCGTAGGCTTGACCCGGCATCGAACCGCGTACCGTAATCACGCCAACATTGTGCACTATAGATTACAGGGTAGAGAGAATACGCACGTACGTATGTACTGCGCTCGGTCGGCATGTATAATGTAGCAGGATAAGCGCGAGAATGCGAATAGGAAAATTAAAACAAAAAAAAATGTAAATAAAAAAAAGAACTCAGAAGCCCAAAAAAAAAAATCATGATCCTAGACAATGTTTTCGCAAGAAAAAGTGTCTCGAAAGTTGACCTTTACGGTGTACGAGAAAAAAAGAAGAAAAAAAAATCCCTATACAGGTGTACCAATCCAACTGGTTTTCAAGGTGCACCAGTTCGTCTAGGTTTCCCAGCTGTTTCTCGAAAGCCCTATAGGCGTGCTAGTTTCGAACTTTTTTCCCTACCCATACGTCACCACGGAGAATGGAAGCAGTGCTGCCAATCGAGGGACGAAAC